CACTCTTTCTAACATACTCACCACTCTTATTGCTTATAATTTATTGAAAAGTACGAAATCACGTGAGAAAGAATCATTAAATTAGATGTGAAACTACCAATTTTTTGTATTTCAATAAATTTCAACCAATGACATAAAATGTGATTAAAAGAATGTGATGTAATGTATTATTAGCATTTCTTAAAAAGTAAATTAAAACTCTTATTTGATAAGACAATATATGTTTCATTCATGAGAAAGGATTTTACTTTAGTTGAATAGGTTAGTAATGGACATTCTTTCCAAAAATTTAATGTAAAAAATATGTTTATCTTATCATACTATTTATTTTACTCTCAACTTATTTATTTATTTTTTCATCTTTTAATTGGATAAACATAAAAAGACATTCTAACATTTTTTTAATACCATAGGTCATTCGACCAAACTAGTATTACTACATCTAATGTGATAAAGTTGAATCGCAAATTTATAAAAAATTATTAGATATTTATCTCAATAATATTTTTCAATATTTTTGGCCTCTTTCAAAATTTATTGACATTTATACTAATATGTTGAAGACTAAAATAACAAAACAATTATTGTGAATTTGAGTTCAACAACTTAATTACTATCATAATGTATATTTCTTTCCCCATTCTCATTAGTATAATTTAAAAGTTCACCCAAGAGAAAACTAGGAGTCATAAAAGATTTCTCTCAATTACCATGACACTGACAATAATTCTCATTCGCATGACATAAGTCCAAGTGGCCAATAACAACATACCACTAATGTACAATGCAACTCAAAAGTTATAATTGTATGAGATGATGTAGAAAATAGTAGATCATGTCACAACTAATAGTTTTTGTTTTTTACCCAAAAAAAGGGTAAAGTCATTCAATATCAAAGATTAGAAATTAGAACAAAATGTTCAAAACGAATAATAGTAAATTGTAAGAAATATACACCTCTATTAGAAATTTATTTTAATATTATAATTTTATTTTCTATCATAATATTAACTCATGTTATAAAAATTTTAATTTTTAATTTTTTCCTTACCAAAGTTAAATCACTTATTCATATGAATTCTCTTTTATAATTTTAAATATTTTTACAATAAACTTTAATTTTAATAATTTTTTTTGTTAAAAAATATCCTTACTTTGGAGCATATTTTATAGTTTATAAAAAAAGCAAAAAAAAAAGTAAAAAAAATTAGACCATTTAAAACAGGTTGTTATGTATGCAAGTTTGCTTGAAAAGATTGTTATATCAAGTTGTTATTACATCTACTAATAGCTTGCATAATTACATAGCCAGTTTAATGCTTATCAAATTTTTAGTTATTGATCTGTAAATTCAAACATCTTAAACATCCATCAAAAATAGCCAATTAACATATGTATTGTTTTGGCATTTTGTTATGCCAGATATACCATTATTGGGTCCTTTACTATATATAAAACCAAGACTTTAGCATACATATAAATTTACCCCTTTAAAACTTAAACAATTGTGACCTTTTAGAGAAAACCCAATTTTCTCCACGCACATTCCCTAAACCTTTTCCTATACAGTAAGCAATTTTTTCATCGAAGCACCAATACTTTGTCTATTTTATTTTGAATCTTACTTAATTTTACAATTTTCAAGCAATTGTTTGAATTATCAACAAAATTCCAAAAAAAACATTGCCAACACTTTTAATAAATAATTATGTAATACTAATAATTTATGTACAGGTTATTATGAGGAATATTTCCAAGGCAGTGGTACTTTTGTTATCAATAATAGTGTTGTTATCTACTACAACATACTCACTTTATCTAAAGCCTGAAAATCATATCAAGTCGGCTACATTTGTGTCTGAAAAGTTTGAAGTAGGACCGGGACAAATTGCAGCAAAAACATTTTTGGATATTGAGTTTCCAAAAGGTCATGTTGGAGTAAAGAGTTTTGACGTTGAACTAGTTGATGAAGAGGGAAATTCTGTACCTTTGTATGAAACTTACTTTCATCATTGGTTTGCTATAAAATACTTTGAAAATATTACATTATCACGCAACATTGAACAATATCATGATCTTCGCAATGGAGTTGTTTTCCAGAGAAATGATGGTTTATGCCAAGGATATATGCTTCCACATTTTTGGGGTTTAGGAGCTGAATCGCGTGGAACATCCTCAAATCTTCCGGATCCATTTGCAGTAGAATTAGGTAACCCTATGAAAATTCCAAATGGATTTACAGAAAAATGGTTGTTTAACATATTGGCTATTGATACACGCGGTGCATACGATAGAAAAGGTTGCACAGAATGTAGATGTAATCTTTTTAATTTACCAAAGGAATTTTACAATGTCACAAAGGGCATTGATGGGCAACCATTGTCCCTAAGTTATAAAGGAGGACTACTTTGTTGTCAAGATAACTTTCAATGCAAATTAAGAAAGGGTTTCGATGGGCCAAGGAGAAAGCTTTCCCTAAGATACAAAATAAGGTGGGTTGATTGGGATGAACACCAATTTCCACTTAAGTTTTATATACTTGATTCAACTGATCGGGTGAAATCAAACGGTTCTACAACAATTCATGATTGTCAGGTATATAAATTATGAAAGATACAATATTTTATAGATGATAACTAGACTTTTCAATCTCAGTTAAATTCCAAATCCTAATGGTAGTCTGTTGAGATGAAATAAGTAACATATTTTTCTCAATTTGTTATAGGTGGAATATACTATTCCAAGAATACATGATAGTGACTCACCAAATGTGAAAAGAGCAAACATTCCAATGGAAAATGGTGGCTATCTTATCTATGGCACTGCTCATATGCATACTGGTGTTGTAAATGCAACTTTATATGGACAGGTGATATTCAATATATGTAATCATTCTTGTATAATCTTTATGATTTGTTGTTTATAAACATTTATCACAAATAACGTTTACATGCCTAAGATTTTCCTATGCAATAATTTTTCTTGATTATTTCTAAGTTTTATTGAGAATTTAAATATTTTAATGCATCATCTCTAATTTTATGCTTTTGATGAACTTAGGACGGAAGAGTTTTATGTACTTCAACACCAAAATATGGAAGAGGAAAAGAAGCTGGAAATGAAAAAGGTTACCTAGTTGGAATGTCTGTTTGTTATCCAAAAGTAGGTTCTATCAAGATTGAAGATGGTGAAATTTTGACTCTAGAATCCAGATATGAAAACAAATTTCGTACAGGAGCCATGGGACATTTCTACATTTATTTGGCAGAACAACTTCCAAACAAAGATATTAAAGATTAAATTTGAATATATTCATGTATCTTTCGCTAATAACTTAATTATCCTGTAAAGTAATTAGTTATTAATAAAATAATTTTTTTAAGTCCTCTTGCCCTTTTATAATTTAAGGCAAATTTATTTTTTTCAATATCACATCAGGTGGTTATAATATAAAAATTAAAAGCAAGTTACAATAAGGAAAACCAACTAGAAAGCTTGTTCAATAGCTTTCTAAATTCCATGTGCTAAAATAACTACTAAACTATCATTTATTTTGGACAACTATAAGACTAATGTGTGTTTCAATATATTAATGTAGAACAACCACATCTATCGCTATGTTAACAATAACGCTAAGACATAGTTACCATGGAAACCTAAATTTTTTTAAAAAAATTGTTACTTTTTTATTTTTTTGTTCAACGGCTTAATTTCAAAATTAGAGTAATTTAGAAAACTTAAATGAAACTAATCCTTGTAGTCATATATTTTATTGGGTGACTGTGAATCAAGCAAAAGATAAGTGAACACTTTATTACTCTAAACATGCATTATGGTGAAGTCCATGACCTCTTCCTCTTCATCCATATTGACCATATAATGGTTGATGAACATTTAAACTAAAACTTCATGAGGAAAATTAGCTTCTATAGGCATCTTGACCTTTAGCATGGTATCATCTATAAAGACCTGACATATATATATACCACTACAAGGATTGTACTCACAAAAAGCATCACATAGACTTCATCTACCCTAAGACTATCATTCTTAAACAAAATTTGGGTATGTGATTGTATATACATATGTAATTGAGATCTCAGTGATAATCCACAACAATTGTTATCCAAAAATATAATAGCACACCATTATGTCTCTTGACCCTATTGAACCTCAACATCCTATTAAAACAAAAGAATACTTGTATCCTTGTTTAAAGATAGTGAAACTTAATATCTAGTTTGATTGAGAGCTAGACATAATCATGGTGGTTGACGTGAGCCAGTATAAAAATACTCAATGTTCTATCTGACTGCTCTTTTTTACTTCAATTGACTAGCGTTACTACCTTGCTGCATAAAATGTGCGAGTTTTGATATATATTATTTAACTCCCTTCTAATGTTTATCTTTTATCCACATTATCCTTGATCTAACATAACAAATAAGAGCTTGCCACATAGGGCTATTAGTAGAAAAAAGAGTGTAGAAGCAAGCATGCCAAAAAGTGTGACTAGTGTATGGAACATGTGACTTAGTGGGTGATATGAACCCAGAGGGATGGATTCGTTTTACGGATCTATCTAGGTTGGAAAGCTCATAATTAAGAAATTAAAAGAAAAAAATATGGATTGAGGTAAGAAATGGAAGAACAACGCCACAATCCCTAAAGATTGATAAGTTGAGGAAGATTCGCCACTTTGAATTAGGAAATTCAAGGATAAGAATCAAAAGTAGTTCCTAAGAACCTAGAGAGAGAAAATCCTCTCAATTGGAAAAATATCCAAATTCTGAATAATTCATTTTCTCCCCCCACTTTTACAAATGGTTCCTATTTATAAGCTTAGATGGGCAAGATGACATAAATTCCCACTAACACTTAATATTGACTCTTCACTAGCCCACTAACTAAGCAATAAATTCCCACTAGCATTTATTTCCCCTTAGCAACCTAAAAGGCAAGGCAACCTATCATATTTATTTAATAAAATAAAATAAAACGAAAATTACATTAAAAATAAGATAATGAACTTATTAATTATTCAGTCCCAAACTACTTAAATTCCTAGTCCATTATTGCTTCTTCTTGATTCACATCATACCCTCCTTCTTTGAGAAGATTCGTCCCGAATCTTTAGACTTTATTTATTTCCTAATTTATTTAATTCACTAACTACTGCCGAAACGTAAATGCTTCCTCCTGGGTCGAAGACATCTCGCTTGTATCCATCTCTAGCTTCACCTGTTGGTAAGTTATTAATCATCAATGAAACAAATAAAACCTCTTCAAACTCATAACCACAAACGTACTCAATGAATAGGAATTGAATCCCATTCAAGTGGCAGCTTTGGAAAATAGTAACTTCAAACAACAAATCAACTCCATTTTCCAGGTGCAAGGTCTCTTGAATTTTATTTTGAAAGGTGGACTGAATGTATAAAGGTGCATTAGGAATGATGTTTACATGCTTCTTCAAACAAGAAAACTTGTCCTCTTGTTCCTGTAAATTTGACACATCAA